CCACAAAAATTAAAAATATACATATATATTAAATAAAGACTCAGAAACACGTCCTCGAATACCTACCTAATCAATGTATAGTAGTTATGGATGCACAAGTCATAAAAACTTACAGAGGCACAATAGAATTTCGACTTACCACTTTCTTCATCATCAATTAATGCTGTTTTCTCGAGCAGACAATCACCCATTTCTCCCAGTGATTCTGAAAATCCTGAGATTAGTGGAATTTGTTAGAAAACTTCTTATTAGCTTTGACCTAAATTACTACATAATTAAAATGGTTCCAAAATTAAAAGAAACACCTCAAAAGGATTTCTAAATGCCAAATATTTTTCCCAGATGCCAAAATGTTTAAAGAGATGGCCAGAATCGACTACCGTAATAATATGACCAGTAATGCAACTTCTTTTGAAAATGAAAACCAAACCCCTGAAGCACATAAAGTAAAAACTTGGCCTACTTCAGTGTACCAGTTGAAAATGTTCAATCACATGCATCAGAAACCAAAAACTTTTCATCGCAGCAATCGTGACCCTAAACAAGAGTTTTAGGCTGATCAATTGATCATTGGAGCTTTTGGACTTAAAGCCCCACTCTAACCCTCTTCATTGTGTCAATGCTTGTGTATAAATTGCAGAATAAAGGGAGTCAGATTTGAAAATAAATAAATAAATCTATACATCAAATAGAATACCATATACGTTGTTTGCTGTTTCTGCTGCAACTGAAAATAACTTATCATAGCAGTCTCTCAAATCAACCATGTCCTGATACAAAGAAAATCAAAAAATGTCCACCATTTGTTAGCATCTCAGCATAAACCAGGAGTGTCATTAAAGCATTACATTTGTAATATCAATAATCTTGATCCGGGGCATTTCAACTAAAAAAGTGATTAAATTGAGGGGAAAAAATATGAGCTTTATAGTAGAAATACACGTTAAATTGAGGTTCCCAAACCAATTCACAAAAATGGTGAAAAATACCTGGCTAGCTTGGTCAAGTTCAACAAAAACAAGAGATTGCTGATGCTTGAGCTCTTCCCTTTCATGCCTAGCTGCTGCAAATCCTAGCCATTTCTTCTTCAGAGATTTCTTCATCTTGTTCTTTATTCTCCCGCTGAAGAAATATATATAATAGCACCAATATTTATATTTACGATAACTTTCTGCAACAGTACTCGAAGAATTGAAAAAAGAGAGAAAGAAGAGGGTTTGAAACGATTAATTCAGTTGTTTCATCATCAATTGGAAAACATAGAAATGTAGCATTATTTTCCTGTTCAGTCTTTCATTTTCATGAGAAATTGACCAGAAATCAATGACTATTCCAATCACTCCACCCCCATACCATAACAAATCAAATTGTCACACATCAGACCTCGAGGAAAATAGAATTAGGAAAAACCTGCACCCGCCCCTCCAATAAAGAGTCGCCACATGGACACCTCATTATTTGGTCAGGATTTAACCCTGGCCGAAAAGCATGGCTCATAGAATTAAGCCATTGTTTGAGTCACATTATTTTCATAAAAATATATTTTTGAATAATATTTTAATGAAAAATGTGTGGTTAAAAAAAATTTTGAATTTACGTGTAATATTATTTTATTTAAGAATGTGTGATTAAAATAATATCAAATTACTGTTTAAAAATGTATTTTTTTTTTTTTTAAATGTGGGTCAAATAGGGCAGTATTTCTCGAAAATATTGCTATTTTTTTATGCTTTTGATGCTGTACTTGGATTAGAACTTTAAAATTAATTTATTCTCTCTTAAACTAGTTATTTTTTTTAATTGCAATAATACAAAAGTTGCATAAGCTGGAAGTTCTTGGAGAAAATTAATGCAGCCTTTGCGTGTAATTTGATTGTGGTGGTAGAATAGATTAACACAGTTTCCAAATTGACTCTGGTGGACCCCACTTAATTGCGTAGGGAATACTTGTTGATGGAATTTGACTTAAAAAAATAAAAATAAATAAAAAATAAAAATTAGTTTGGTCAAAATCTGATAATTGAACTTGATTTTAAAATGATTTTATGGTTTTTTTTTTTTTTTTTTAGTTCAAGTAATATATTATTTTTGTGAATGCTTGCATGGTATGGTTGACATCTTTCAGTGGATCCAACTTCTAAACTTTAAATAATTATTAAGTTCATGGTGGAGCCTATTTTTTAAATATAAATTTTATTAAAAGTGCTTTTTTAAAAATATTTTAGTTAAAAAGAAGGATTTATTTTTAGATTTATGTAGAAATTATTTTATTGAGATAATTTGTAATTAAAAATAAATTTAGAGAAAAATGAATTTTTGAAAAGATACAAGAAGTCTAACAACACCAAAGTACATTTCAATATTTAAATAATTTTATACTACTTTCTATAATAATTTATAGAAATATATAAAATCCTAGTGGTTTCAATAAAATTCGAAAATTTCTCTATTACATGAGGCCCTTTTCCATGTGAAAGTTGCTGTGAAAGGAAGATAATATTGGATTAATCCTATACCAATTTGTTAAAAAAAAAATATATATATATATATATATATATATATATATATATATGGCCATAATAATAAAGTAAAGATTACAAGAATAATGTAATTTTGTAGGGAATGGAGATTTATTATAATATGAAGAAAGAATACAAAGATTATATGTGTTTTTAGTTTGTCTAACTTAATCTAAATACAATGAAAAAGCCAAATATATATATAGAAAACAATCCAAACCCTAAAAGTAGAATTGTAGATAAAATAAAATACCCAAAAACTTATCTCGATCTCTTGAAATCCAACACAAATTTCAACTCTCAATAGAGCTTCCAAATAGAACTTTGTTTTGAATTTCATAAATAAGCTTCGAATAGAATTTCAAAAACATTCCAAATAAAATTCTTTTTAATGTGCACTTTAATTAAAATTCTTAATTACCTTTAAAAAAGAATTCGGATCACGTCCAAATTCTAACAATTTTTACATTGACAATAATTCAAGTACAATGAACAAACTTCAAAGATTTTCCACCTAAAAACAAATTCCAATGCAAAAAAGTAAACTTCAACTCTTCAACAAAAAAAAAAAAAAAAACACAAAAGAACTTCTACATCAAAAAATTTTAACTAGAAATATTTTCTACATCTGGTACCTCGGCTAGAAGCAAAATGACATGAAAATGAACAAACTTTAAAGATTCTCCACCTAAAAATAAATTTCACTTAAGGAATAAACTTCAATTCTTCAATAAAAAACACAAAAATATAAATAAAATAAAAAACTTCTCCATCGAAAATTTCCATTTGGAAATATTTTTGCCTCTGCTATCCCAACTAAGGGTAAATGTGATCTAATGACCATAAAACAAGGCTAAAACAAGCCAGGTAATAGAAATTATAATTGAATGCATCAAAAGAAAGGTTTTGGCTAGAATCAACACCCTTAACAGTATTCAAACCATAAACTAAATCAGAAAAATTGCACCTATGTTGAATCTAATAGCCAAAAATAGGTCTATTACTAGACTAGCAACTGAATAAATGGCACTGCCGATAATGGTGGCAAGGCGGATTTACTCATAACTTCTAAATTCAACTAAGAAGTATTCTTCAAAGAAGATCCAAATTAGACTCTAACGGTAAGAATCCAACTCCAATTCCACCCGAATTCTCTTAGACTCTAACGGTAAGAATCCAACTCCAATTCCACCCGAATTCTCAAAATATGTCCATTAATCAAATATTATGTATAACATTGCAAGACATATAAATTGAATTTTCTATGTCCCTTTAACAAAACATCGGCTCATTTACTAACTCACAACACCCCACCTTCAACAATGCACATGTACCTTTTAAATCAAGAGTATTTAAGGAGATAAAACTTCTCTTTTTGGATTTAGAAAATATCTCACTGCATCAAGTGTTCTAACCGTCCCATCAAATTTTTGGTCTATATTTTTAAATTTTGAGTTCATTTTCAAATTTTTGTTTTGTAAATCTATTTTAAGATTATTAAAAACACTTTCAGTTTGTTAATATGAAAAACTATTTTTCAAAACAAAAAATTAGAAACTCGTTTGCTTTAAAATTTTGAGAAATTATTACATAATATTTTATTCAGTGAAATAATAAAATAAGATAATTTTATATTAATATATTATCAAGTAATACATTTCAAAGTTTGTAAATTTTACATTATATTTTTGGCTACAAAGTAAAATATAAATTGAGTTGGCAAATCATAAGAATAAAAAATAAAAATTAATAACACTTTGTTAATTTAAATAATTTTTGGAATAATTGTTTATGCAAATAACCATTAAAAGCATGAATTTTTTATTTTTTTTACAACTTTTATTTTACAAGAATTATTTTTAAAAAAAATCAGATTTTTTTTTCAAATTTTTATTTGGAAATTTTAAATTTTATTTTAAATATTTTTTATTTTATTTTTTAGAATTGTTGACTTTTATTTTTAAAAATGTCATCATTTTGTTTTTTAAAATTTTTAATTTTTTGAATTTTATGTAAATAAAATTTTATTAAAACATTTATTTCCCATGTTTTGAATATTTTCAAAGCTCTTATTTAAAAACACTCAAAATGTTAAAAATACATTTTGAATTTTATGTTATAAATTTTGCCTTATTTTTGAAACTGTAATAGAGGGCGTTTTGTTTCCCATTTTTGTAAAAATGAGAATGAAAAATATAGTCGTTATGGACCCCACACAAGTGATAGAAATTAAAATTTGGTGGCTTGATGTGATGAATAAAGGTCATATTTTTCATTTTAATGAAAAAAGAATAGGAAACAAACGGGGGCTAAATATATTAGATCAAATATGTTTTGGATATTTTGTAAAAGTGAAAACTTAAAACAACAAACTAAACGCATTTTTTACAAACTTGACATGGTTTTATGGGAACTTGATTTCTCGAGTCAACAATAATTTCTTTAATTATTGTCAATTTTCTAAAATGCATAAAAGTGTGACTAAACGTGAATATTAAGTTTCGAGTTTTATGAGCCTAGGCAAGGTTTAGGCATAAAGACGCAATACTTATTTTTATTAATATTTTAAATGCTTAATCATTCTAAACATCATTTAATAATTAAAATAATATATATCAAACATCTGAAATTATAAAATATCATATTTACTTAAAATTTCATACAATTTGTCAATTATATAATTTTCAAATTTTTGAAATACAAAAATTAGACTACTTTTATTATTTCAACTTTCAACTAGACAAGTCATGCTTAACAAATTTATAGGAATATCATACATATTTTTAAAATTTTCAACAAAATGATAAGTTTTAAAATCATATTTATATAATATAGATAGTACAATAACTTAAATCTTATCTAAATCTTTATTGTAAAGTCATTTAAAAAATTTGAAGCTAGAGTCAAAGAAAAGCTTTCTAAAAAAGGGGGAAAAACTAAAAAGTTAATGAATTAAAGTAAAATAAAATATTTTTAAAAGAAGGGGAAAAAATAATAGAGCTAAGTGGTCAATTTAGCAGTTAATCATTTAATTCGAGCTTCCTGTCAAAATAAAGCGTCTTGCCCCTATCTCTTGCTTAGGCGTCGCTTCGTTGTATTTTTTATAACACCGATTATTGGGTTATAATATTCATTAACAATTTTGGTACCTAATACTTTCATTTGTCATTATTAGGAAATTTTAGAAAATCTTAAAATGAAAAAGCTCTATTTCTCCTTGTAACCGCAGTGATCGAGTTTATAATGAGTGAACAAAATAGGCAAAATAGCATCGATTATGAAATAAAAGTTTAATATAAAAAAGGTTGAACCCAAACCTTAAGGGTCCTCCATCGTCCCGTCCCTGGAGTATCGTGAGAGAAGTTAATCGCGGAATGTGCCCCAACATGCCAGAGAACAAGAGCTACATGTACACTAGTACCCACAAAGAGTTTCAATCCATGTTTCAGGAATCAAACCCTCACACTGCGATTGTCAGTAAGACTTAGTATACCTCACACTATGAAAGAGTCAAAATCCATGTTTTAAGAAAAGTTTAATATACAAAGCGTTAAATGTGGTGTTTTTTGTAAATATGGTAAACAAATATGGGAAAGTGGAAAACCATGTGTTAAGAATAACAACCGTGCTAGATGGATAGGGCCGACTAGACGGACAGGGCCATGTCCGTCCAGGGGGCTGACGTGGCCCTCTCGAACAGCATTATTCTAAGAAGAATGTAAACAAATAAAATTGTTACCTTCTTCAGTGCTATTTGCGTCATTTTACATTCCTTGTTAATGTATTGGGCTTTGTACCTAATTGGTCTTAATGCAGACGCAGATAGCCCAATCTACCAATTTCTTTGTATCCAACTTTTCAGTTCTTCGAAACTACTCTACTAACAGAAACCTGTGGTTTTGCGTGGAAGAACGAGGGGAAATGGCGACGTGGGGTGCATTCTGGGGGACTCGAGTAATGGAGATAGTGAAGAAGCACGATTCAGGAGGCCTTGTTTGGAAGAGAATTAAGCTCACGTCCACTCGCAAAGCCAACGCCAAGAAGCGGCTACGTCGCGTTTGGCAGGTACCCTTATATATTCACTTTACTCTCTCTGTTTTAGGTTTTTATATTTTAAGTCCTCCTAGTTCTTTTACGTTCAGTGATTTCTTATTGGGTTTCGATTAGTATTGGTATTTGCTAAACAGAAACGTCTGCTTTTATGTGGTTTGTGTGTTTCCTTTAATGTCCATCAGTTGTTTGATTTGGGTCTTAAACTAGTAGTCCATTGACACGCTAATGATTGTTTCGACTTTGATGAGTTTAATTCTGTGAAGGCATTAAATCCCACATCCACTAATTACCAAAATATGGACAAACATCCTAGGGCTAGGGCTATGTTTGACGTTTTATAATGGAACCCCCAAGTTCATTAAGCTCAAATAAGCAATTTGATTCAATTAAGATTTAAATGAGCAAATGGATTTTAAGATTGGTATGCTCAAATGAGTCACCATTTTGCAAGGGCAAGAGCATGTTAAAGGATAAATTTCATGTCGACGAATTATCAAATTGTAGACAAACATATAAGGGTTTCTTAATAAATTTGACCTTTTAAATGGAATTCCAAGTCTTAATAAATTCAACATCATTTGCATTTGGTTTCCACTTATTTCTTCTTTCTTTTTGTTTTCTATAACTTTGGATACGTTTTTCAAAATTTGAATGTTGAGTTGTGAAAAGATGAAATTTTAACGTAGTTTGCAAGTGGGATACTTCACCGAATTTTTTATGATTTTGGGTTGTAATGCCATTGGCATAATTGAATGGCTTCGTGATACTTCTTGAATCAAGATTGCCTTGTGTTAAAGGAATGAAAATATAAAAGGGGTTCAATTATGAGATGATGGATGCTCGATTATAAAAATATCACAAGTTGTTACTATGTCAACTCAATTCAAACAGCATGATCAGCATTCTTTTTCCATATAATTGACTTTGTTAGCAATTGTTTCAATGATTTAGGCTGCACTAATTGAGCTAAGCTTTCTTGTGACACCCCATAAGAAGCATTGCTTTGACACGGAAAATGTCAGATACTTTGGAACATATAGCAGAGCCTCATACTCAAATCATCTCTGATCCGATTGCCTACTACCTCCGTACGCATAAGAAAAGTCAACTTTGTAACCGTTATATAATTTAGAAATTGTTGAAATTCCAAATTACACCATTGGTAATTCTATTTAATATGTTTCTTATCCTATATAACTTCAATATACATATAGTATTTGTTTGGGAAAAATTATAAATAGATAGAAATGAGTGGTGGATAAGTGTGTAGTAGTTTTAGTCCTATGAAATGTGTGATTAACATTAAAATTTGACTTTAACGTTCAAATTATAATAAAATGATGATTTAAACCAACAAGCACATGATAGTGAATGTTGCCAGGAAAATTATTTGGAATATTGAATCCAAACTAAGGAACTAGACGTGAAACACAAATATTGATCATGATTGTGGATGATCTGACCATTTCTGGACCATAAATTTACTTAATCTGGAGTAAATTCTGATCCACCAGTTTTCTGATTTTCTCATACATTGAACATATAAGTATTGCTGGAGGTTGTCTTGAATCTTGCTTGTAGATTATAGAAAATACTAATGTTGACCATGATTTTCAAAGGGCATATATGTACAATGTAAAACCACTACCAGTTGTAGTGATTTGATTTGAGAGTTCAGTTTATGTGAAATCACTCTAGCTCATGCTTGGATTGATTCAAAAAATTGGAAGATTGAATTTGGCTTGAAATCAAATGAGTCTTATTTCGAGCTTGAATTCCTGCTTTAATATTCCAAGCCTCAACCAGAATCTAGTCAAACCCAACAATCCAGGGTCCAAACTTTCACTGAAAAATGTCAAAAAAATAAGTTCAATTTTATATTAGGAAAATACTTAAGCGTGGAATGTTTACAATGAATTCGTCTTTGCCATATGTTACATACTTTGTAAGATTGACTGTTTGAATGCATGGGAATATTTTCCTCACAGAATGAGGCTGTTTTGAGGGCATGTTCTGAGCCACCTCCCTCAGAATTCACACGGACTGAAGTAGGGGAAATTCATGTCAAGGAGAACACGACTACAAGTATCCAAGATTAGCTGAAATGAATCTAAACAAGCACAAAATGGATACAATGACTTCATCTAACTTTTTGTTGCCGTCTTCAAACTTTAACTGCATTTTTAGACTCGGTCTAGAATCATGACTTTCATTCATGCAGGTCTTTACTTTTGTAGGATCAATTTAAGTGTCTATCAATTTGTAGCATTTGTGTCTTGTTAGCTTTCAGCTTGGACCTTGTCTAATAAGACAATTAAAATTCGTCCACATGTCTGATCTTTGCTTTCTTCAGTCATGATATCCTGAGTTGATTCCATGATCATCTTTATGTAATATTCGCCGCATTGTAGTGCTCTATGTGAAGATAAATTCTGCAATGTGATTAGAATGGGAAACTGAATCAAGAGTGTACTCAATTTTAGCACCTATGATTTTTGAAGTTTTTCTCTTATTCAAAATCATTCAAGCATGGTAGATGAAATTCAAATATGTAACTACCATTGTTTTCAGTTTTCAAATCTAGTATTCTGTTAATTTTGACCGTGGAGTTTTCAAATCTAGTAGGTTTCATATAAGGAATCTTTCCTCGCACCATCGCTGTCAGAGTTATAGAAAGGATGATACTGAACCCTCTGATTGAATAATGTGGTCCATTTTGGAGAAAACGAAGGTTGAACTAAAGCACAAATTCCATGTAGTCTCTTCAAACGTTAGAAGACCTATGTTAGCATTGAGAATTTTAGGGGAGAAATTTTTAGAATATCAAGCACGAAGTTGAAGATTTTAACTATATAATCTAGTTCTAAGTGCAGAGATATCTTATTATTCTTGTGCTGAAGCTAAAAATGCTAAATGACGTTAGATTTTAGATGGTCTGAATCATATCTAGACACTGAATTTCGATATCATATTTGGTATTGTTATTTTATAAACCTCATATGGTGTTGAGCTCTGAAATCCAATAATCTTGACCATGGGCAGTAGTAATATCCCCTGTGCAAAAAATCTGGCTTTGAATGTCTTGATTTTTGTGATGTCATTTTCTAGTTGGTATAAGATGGCAGCGTGGAGAAATTATGTATTCACACTGAAGGGGGGTACTACTGCTTTGATATTTCTCTGGGTAGATTCATATTTGATAAGGCCATTTATTTGAAATTTACTACAGAAATAAGATGTCATTGTTGCAGAGATCCTAAGCAACCCAACTTTGTGACTTTAATTTTATGAAGACAATGTACTTAATTTAGAGTAATATTGTTTATAGTGAGGACTACTGATAGTCATTTTACATGACATACATACGACAGTTTGTTATTTAATGCATGATGTAATAAAAAATTAGCACATTAATGTATTAAATAACAAACTGTCGTATATATGTCACATAAGATGATTGCATGTAATTCTCACCTTGGATAACATTATTCTTAGATTTATGGGTTTTTGAATTGGTCAACTTGCACAATTATTTATTTTCTTTATATGAAACCCAAAATTTCCAAACTCTTATAAAGAGCTGAACATCATACTGATGGGGCTCCCTTGTTTGTTTCTTTCTTTATTAGTGATTGACCTAATCAGGTGATGCTATAAAATGTTGGAGAGTGGTGCCTACCATGACAACCTGCCCACATCTACGTAGTCAGCAATACGCAACTCCACCCCACCCCACGCCATGGAGAGAGAGAGAGATATATATATATATATATAGAGAGAGAGAGAGAGAGAGAGAGAGAGAGGGTGACGTGAAGAACTCCAACAGCCAGCCAGCCTGACTTGGACGATTCTTAACCACTGTCACAAGAAACTGAAGTCGGCATTTTTTATATTTACATGTTTTATCTTAAACTTTTTTATAATAATTTTCTTGTCTTGGCATGTTATTAGGTTAATAGCTATGGACAATTAAGCATTTAATTGTGTTTTACTATGCCGTCCATACTCTCTTTAGCTTCCATTTGGCCCTTTTAACCTTGCATAGCACTAACAGTGCTTTATAGTTGAGTCAACAGACATACTTCTGTGCATGTCGGACACGTGTACGTCACGCCGTTTAATTAATTAAGTTTTATTAAGTATACGAAACCACAAGATTAAAAATATTTTTTGTGCTTAGTTAGGTCAAAGTTGTATTTTAGTTGAAGAATCTCGAATCCATGTTTGTGAAAGAAGAGATTGTGGGGTTTCTTTCTTTCTTTACAATTCAAGGAACCTACATGGATTTCTACCATTTATGGCCCCATGGAATTGAAATATTTGCAAGTGTTGGCCAATCAAATGATCAACTTACAAGAAAATAAATGGTTATCGTCCGTCTCTCTAATTTCACCAACCCGTCCTCAAATCTCAAAGTTTTAGTTTACTTTGTCCCCTTGACAAAACCTTGCTTGTGACCCTGGTACAGAAGACTGACTACTTTGACAAGTGGGTTAATCAGAGTGTTATCAAATTTAGGATTCCTAAAGGTTCTTGATAAAATTGGCTTTTGAAGGTTCCAAAGTTGGGCTAAGGAACCTCGTGCGAAGCTCATATTACACAGATTATGTTCTAATTCTTGTGCTTCGTAAAAGGAATTCTCTTTTGAAAAAGCCTGTTATATATATTATTATACATGTGCACATGCTCCGTCTCTTCTTTTACTAGCTTTCTTGATGAATGATTATATTCCTTTTGTTCAAGATTTGCATGGTGAAACAGTATAATTTCTCAAGATTACGAACAATTGCAGAACATGTAAATTTCTTAGGTTGTTCTCTGGGTTCAACAAGACATTTGGTGAGGGAATTAAATGTTATTTTGATGGGATCTATGATATTACATTGAGAGTTAGGGATGTGAATTCGTTTTGACAGTGGCAGAACTATTCAAACTACTGCTTTCTTCATGATCATCTGATTCATTGTTACTCGAAATCTCTGTAATCCCACTTGAACCCGAAGACGATGAAGCTGGAACTAGATTCAAATCAGTCCTCCCGTCCTTGGCCATAAAATCGTAGAAGACGGTCCTAGTATTCCCCGAAATGGCACCCCGACCACCATTTTGTTGTTGTGAAACCTCGTCCTCAGTTTTGTTGTTTCTCCTCTTCAAAAATATTCGGCAGAGAACCCAGTTTTCCTGCAGAAGATTGCCATTAACAGAGTCAGGACTGGTCGAGATTAATTGGAAAACGAAATATTAGGGAAATCTCACCTGTGCTAAGTTTTTGGTTTGTGTGTCTGTGTTTTGAGCATTGGCGAGGCGATATTCGTGCATAATCCAATCAGTTCTGCAGCCTTTTGGAGGCTTTCCTCTATAGAAAACCAGAGTTTTTTTCATCCCGACAACCTGGTGGCTCCTGGGACTTAAAATTTTTTTGTCCAAACCGGTTGCCTTCCAGTAGCCAGAACCAGTTGCCCTGTTTGATCGATTCCCATTCGGGTACTTGACCTCTCTGGTACTGAAAAAGTACCTCTCTAGCTCGGAATCACCTGTGCGTACTCAAACTCATAAATTAAACTGAAATTTTCTGATGAAAACCCAACATTTTGATTATCTAATTTGGGGTATGATTAACAAACCTGGCAAATTCCAAGGATCAGACTTGCAAACATCAACCTCTGGGATTATAGAAGCTGGCAAAGGATAGGAAAAGACCTTGCGCTTTAAGTATTGCACCACGAGCTCTTCATCAGTAGGGTGGAACCGAAATCCAGGAGGCAATTTAATCATACCACCATTTTTCACATAGTTAAGTTTCTCCATCTCTTCTCCTCTCCCTATTCAAACAACTACGAACTCAAATTTCAAACCCAAGAACAAGATTCTCTTCTTTAAGTTCTTGAAAGTGGAGAGTATATATACATACATGTATATATATAGCAAGAAAAGGAACAGGAACAAGAACAATAGATAACAGGAACAAGAAAAAGAGAGAGAGTTGAGAGGTTAAAGAGTGGGTATGTGAGAGGGAAAGTGAGGGATCTTTATACTAATGGGGATGTTGAAGAACAGGCTTTTTAGATAGAGAAGAGAATATAATATTTGATGAACCCATTTGGCGTAAAATAGACTCAATCCCCTTTCATGCTTCGACGCATTTTTTTAAGCGACATAAAAAATGGACATGAAAAAGTGAAATTCTTCACTTTAAAATTTCCTACAATTCTATCCTTCTTGTGTTCAAACCTCGTTTCCTAACGCTTTCTTTTTCTTGATCTCATCTTGTCCACTTCCCAACTCTTTATTTTATAACTAGGTTTTAAGTAGTGTCTAGAACGTCCTTTCTCGAACTTACAGCTTGTTTGGTTTGGATTAAAATTCGATTTTAATTTAAGTTAAAGTCAAATACTCAATATTAATGATATCTTTTATGAGTTCTATAACTTTTCAACCACACATTTCAAAAATTTCTATGACAATCTACTAAAAAAATTTAATTTTAATTATCATCAATCACCCTCTTAATAAGTATTTATGTTCGTGTTGAGTTTCAATTTTTTTTTTTAATTTTTTTTTTCTCCAAATTCATTTTCTCTTACACATTCTCTCAATAAAATAATTTTGTATGTAAATTAAAAAGAATTTTTTTTAAACTATACATTCTCCAAAAAATCATTATTACAAATCTCAATTTTTCTTTAACCTTTGTTCTTAGAAATTCATTTTGTCAAAACTTATTTTCAATCACATTCTTATATAAAATTATTTTATCGTAAATTGAGAAAAAATTTTTTTTTTTTTTAATCACACATTTTTTAAAATATTATTATTTAAGATACGTGGGGCTCAAACAGGGGTCGGGCATATGTTTTCTTCATTGTTAACTTTGGGGTAAAATTATTATGAACATAACTTTAGGAGTAAAGCAAAAGACTTCTGCAGTAAATAGTGGACGGTGGTAGGGCTATATTTGGTATTCCAAGTTTTGTTTCAAAAGTTGCAATTATGCCTCAATTTGAATTTTGATAAAGGCACACAAGTTTAATAGTTAAAATTCTCATTTTTGGTTTATTATAATGTTTATATCTTTAATTTTTTTTTCTTTGATTTCTTGTCAGTAACATACCATTAATTATAATATTTCGTCTTTAATAATGATTTCTGTCAAGATATTCTGTTTGCATGCTTCGAAATGAGAAAAAATATTTATTGTAAATTGTTTTTAAAAAATATGATGGGTAAATAACTCGCTTAAGCTCTTTTAACAAATTTTTTTGGACGAAAATCATAATGTACTAATTTAGGTTAAAAATAAGAATTACAATTTAAAAAATCGGGTTTGTGAACAAATATTTACTTGTTTAAAATATAGTGTTTCTTTATTCGAATTTTAAATTTCTTCTCCTAATAAATTAATAAACGGCATGCTCTTTACCACGATTATCTAGCTCAAGATTCCCTGAATAACAATTATTTAGCTTAAAAAAGGTCCAAAAGTAAACAAAAGAATCAATCCATTGTATTTTCCCTTTTTCATTCTTGTGTACACGAAATGTTTTTCTAACTTATACTATTTCTTATCAATATTATAAGCACACTACCAAATTAGCAAATCGACTACAAGAATCAAGAACAATTGATTATATGAAAGAAATAAAAAAAAAAAACTAGTTGATTTACAAACAAAATTGACTGATCGATTCTCAAACTTCTACTCGATTTATGATTCGTTGCTCTTTTTTTTTTTGGATTGAATTTCGAGCTAATTCTTGAACATGCAATTGTAACTCGATTAACTTGGTACAAATGGTTAGCAATAAATATGCTCTTTTTTCTATTTGGTATGAGGGGTCCTTGTAACCGAAAATAAGAAGCCAATTATCTTACGTTTAGGTTGAAAATAAGAGGATACAAGATAACAAAGGGCAAAACTGTCATTATCTTGACGTAGGGGTGGCGAGTGGGTGAGGGGAATAAAGTTGTGGGGTGCCACTTGCCCCCTAAACGACGGGCAATCACGTCGGATTGAAGAGTAACTGACAAATATGGCACGCTATGTCAAGATTAAAGATTTCCTCAAATCCGTTTTGGATCAGACAGCAATTTTAGTAGAAATTGTCAAACAACTCTCTCATCTTGAAAAGACTTACCCCTCTTTTTATCGATGGATGAATTAGTTTCGTGTTTAGCTTCTTTTCATGATGCAAATGTTGAATAAATAATTTAAGCATATGTTTGGTCCTAATTTTTCAAAATTTATTGTCAACTTTACATTTTTTCATGAAATAATATTATACGTTTACTTATTTTTAATCATGTTCAAAAAATACATTTTCTTATAAAAATTCTTCAAACAAGGGCTTAAGTGGTTTAGTTTTTAGATTTAGTAATTTAACGTTGTACAAAGTCGGCAAATCAAAATCTTGAATTCCAATCTTATAGTCGGACATTTATGAGAAATTTATGTAAAATCATTTGATGCAAGAATTTTGTCAAAAGAACATGTTACGGATTAAAAAATTTAACTGTTTAAACTTTTAGGTTTAACACGATTCAAGTCGACAAATCAAAATCTTGAATTTCAATATGATAGTTAGAAATTTATGAGAAATTTTGCGCTATGTAAAATTTATTTGGAACAACAATTTTGTAAAAAAAAAAAACATGTTACGAATTAAAAAATTTAATCGTTTAAACTCTTATATAATGTTTAACCCGATGAATTTGTCACCCTTGTCATGTGCTATATGTTAATTATTTATCTTCTTTTATGTAAAATTTTGTAACAACATTGACACAAATTAACATAGTAAAGATACACTATTAATCTTTAATAAATGTTTAAATAAGATGTAGTAGCTGGAAACACAAACCCAAAAGCTAGCAAGATGCTATTTTAACACTCTAAAGAATACATTAATTTAAAACATGTTTAAACTCTGTTTTATTTGATAAAAATTGATGAAATATGTGTTTAGAAGGCTCTTAAATGTGTGATTAAAATTAATTATTAATTTCGATTTAAATTTTGAATGAACTTTTCAATTGAACCAAATTGGAGCTTAATCTTTTATTCATGTCATGTCTTTATTTAAAATGAAAAGAAGTGGCATTTTCTTGAATAATATAAAGTGTTGGGGAGAAGTTTGGTAGTACAATATAAATGTAAGAAGATTATGAAGGTAACGTGGGACGGTTGAGGACTGGAGCCTCAAACATTGACAATTTGAAGCAGATTCCGTAAGGAAAAGGAGAACCCTTTTCTTGAAATACTTCGAAGAAAACTAGGAATCAAAAATGAAAAATTTACATTGGAAGTCACCAAACTTACAATTTATTTTCACTTTGGTTCATTTTATTTTGATATTTTTGTTTTGATTTGACTATTTTGTCTGTAACTATGACAAAAATTATCTGTCAGTCTCATGCAATTAATAAAGAGCTTGATCTAATGTTTGTTTGACATTAAATTAGTAATTTTTTTTTGTTATAAGGAAAACTCAAATGAATAAATTATAAACTTTAAATTTGTCCGATCTTGTTTCAAATTATTATAGAAAAGTAAAGGTTAATATAGTGTTCATGTTTTCTTTATCACTCAACGTATATTTTTGATTCAATAATGCCATTGCCTTCGTATTCTTGACCAAAACAGATGGCCAGTCTCACGAGATAAAATGCACGACTTAACGCTTGTTTGACATTAATAACTAACTTTTATAGATAAACAAAACTCAAATAATCCAATGGCCAGTCTCACGTGATAAAATGTTATTCTTCATTTCAATTAGTTTCGAGTCAAACGAGTACAAGTAAACGCATTTCTTCAAGTCTAATCATGAATTTTGGTGATTAAGACGTAGAATAATCTATTCGAAACAAAAATTGTATATCAAGTGATCAAATGGCATATGAAACAACTTTACGAGTTGGGTAGTCTCTACAAAATTTTCTTAAAAAATAATAAAATTGAAAAAGGCAAAGAGAAAAGAGATGAGGTTCTAACAAGCAAATCAAATTGTCTCTCTTCACCCCCCAACTTGCATATTGTGGGAAAAAGTTGGGCTTCGTACGGCAAATTGCGGCTGTTGTTTGCCTTGTCTGAATTATCTCTCTCTCTCTCTCTCTCTCTCTCTCTCTCTCTTTCTCTCTCTGAATTTTTCATATTTTTAATATGGTTTGATGGTTTGGGAGTCAAATGCGTTTGCGTGTGGGTGTCGAAGTTGAGGTGGGTGTTAACTTTTAAGCAGAAAAAAGGATAAAGAAAAAGAAACGTCAAAGCCTACAATTATTATCTTTTCATTAAAAATATGTTTGCTCACTCTCTCCTCTCTTCTTTTTTTGGTGTTTCCTATTCCTTTTAATATTATTCTTTTTCTTTTCTAAAGCTAAACGCCAACCCCTCCTACGCATACTCGTCTCATTATATTATTAAATAAATTTCGATAAAAATTAATAAAAATTTTATAGTGAAAAATTAATAAAAAAATATGGATCCTAGGTATGATTAAGGTCCCGTTTGGTATCTATTTTTCTCAAAATGTGTTTTTCTCTCTCTTCTTTTCAACCACACATTCTTTATTAAAATAATATTACACATAAATAAAAAAATTTCTTATTTTTCAACTACACATTTCCCATTAATTTACTATTTAAAAATGCATTTTTACATAAAAATGTCTCCCAAACACCCCCTAAAAATGAGATTAAACCAATAAATTTTAAAGAATATGTGCGAAACAGGAGTTAACCATCATTTTTATCGTAGCTTAAAATTATTTAGCATATAGACTATTTGTTTCTTTTGAAAATCATTATTTTCACAAAGCACTTGTGTGGCTAAGTTTTTTTTTAAAGGGTAATTATCATAAAACGTTCTTACTTTTCAATATTATTGTGCAAAATATTTCTACCTTTTATTTTTTGGCATTTTCATCCTTATTTTCACATTTCATTTTGAAAATTATCATTTTCATCCAATTTCTCAATAAAAAATATAAAATAACAAATATACCCTGCCAAAAACAAAAAAGGAATGAAAAACTAAAGAGCATATTGCAATCACACTCAAACTTCTTTAAAAAACGCAAGTGAGTCCAAATAAATTATTAGAAAGGTAATTAGCATAAGACATCTATACCTATCAATGTTATTGTGCAAAACGTGGATATATAAATTTTTTGATATTCTAACCCTTCTTTTTCACCCTTTATTGCGAAAATCGTCATTTTCATCTAATT